GTGAAAAGGTGAGCCAGAAAACTAGAATTGATGGGGCTCATTTTCAGTTAAAGATAATTCAGCATAATATAGCTATCATCCTCACGTATCTACCATCCCTGGGCCCAGTTTCACCGTATGACGTTACCGTCAGCACTATTCCCCTTGTGGCATGCAAAAGAATGACAGGCGATCAGCTATTTTTGAGTGAACGTTTCGGCGTTGTTGTTTTTTTTTTTGTGTCTGTAATGCTGCAAATATTGAGGACAATTTTCTTATTATTACACAGCAATACAGCATGGCAGAAACTTACCTTCAGGTCGGAAGAGGAGACGGCAGACGACACTGACACCGCACGGCACACACTCGACATCCCCGTCGGCCGTCCGCACATCGCGGGCGGGCACTGAATGGGACGGACGGAATGTGGCGGAGGGGACGCGCGCTCGGCGCTCCCCTCTCCCGCGGCGTCTCCGCCCCAGGCGAGGATCGGGGCGCCCGCCGCCGACCGTACGGCCTCTAAAACGGACAGTGGTCGCTAAATTCCAGTCGGTACAGTCTCTGAACTTGATCACCACTTTCAAATCAAAATGACCTTTCAAGGTCATCAAATAGTTTATTCGACGCGTCTCGACGAGAGGAACACGATGCAGGCAAAAGTAATGTCGTGGCTTTCTTGAGTCAAAAGTTATTTCCGAAAAACAGTTTTCGTGAAAACGGCTATTTTTACAGTTTTTGGCCTCTGGAGGCTAAACCGTTGACCTGAGGTCAAATCTGAGAACACTCTACATAAATGACGGTAAAAGGGATATCGAATGCGCTTTTCCGCGGCGCTGTAGCTCTATTGGTTCCCGAGTTGGCCGTTGGCAGTTTCCAAAATTATCGAAATGGACTAAATTTGACCTTCGATCACCTCTGGTGACCTGACCTTTGACCTGACCTTAAAAATGACTGAAGTGTTTTCTTCCTTATTTTTGAAGCTCTTTCGATTGCCGTTTACCGCGTGTCGCTACGTGGCCCAGGAGCCGAGTTAGACGGGGGGGGGGGCGTGAAAACGCCCCCCCCCCCCCCAGCACTCGGCGGAAAGTTCAGGCCACCAGCACGGCGCGGGTTAAGTAAAGTATGAGGCTTATCAATGGTCATGACTGATAAGCGAGCTGTTAAAAAATCTTACAAGTAACGAACAGACTTGCCAGAATCTTGCAAGAAAGATTCTTGCAAGGAAACCACCGCATTCTTACAAGAAACTTGCAAGATTGGGACAGTCTTGTACAAGATTTCCTAAGTTTGGAAGACTGTCCTCAGAATCATATAAGATCTTGCAAGATCGAGAAGATTCTTGTAAGATCTTGTAAGATTTTTTCACCTGGGTGGTCGCTAAATTCCAGTCGGTACAGTCTCTAAAAGATCATCACAGCGCACAAATGTACACTTTAGTCCCCGAATAATACAGTAGTGATGCTTCAAATTAAGCTGAGAATGTTATGACGGGTTATGAAGGGACTAGGGAGTTATGAAGTGAATCGATTTTTTTTATAGGGATCAATTCGCGTTCTCTTGGCGATCAAGTGGCGTTTGTGCGTGCTATATAGGTAAAGTTCAACCCAGGTCACTAAAGAGTTCAACCGTGAGGTGCCTCTTCTTTTGTTCACGTTGCGAAGGAAAGCAGGCTTTTCCACTAGTCAACCACATTATGGAGTATGTCCCGAAAGCGGCCACTATTGTCCTGGAACCTTCTGACATCGTAGGGAACTGTGTCAGTGTGGGAAATGGGAAATGGGAAATGGGTTGTTCGTTTGGCATCGAACGATAGCCACTTACAGACTTACCTGGAAAAGCAGTCGGTTTTGACCTCATGTCAACGGTTTGGCCTCCAGGGCTCAAAAACAATGTGACCAAGGCGCGTACATCTTCGATTTTTCGGAGGTTGGGTCACTTGACTTGGTGATCTGATCTTTGATGATCTGGGGTTGGAATTGTGCCTACTATACGGAAAAGATGTGTGATAAGCTGTGCCAAGAACCTGAATGGTGCGTAAAAACGTCCCCCCTACCAACACGGCGCGGGTGAAGTTGAATCATGTTGGATGACCAAGCAGATCCAATTGGACTAATATGTAACCTATTGGACTATCTCCAATCCAGTTGGATTAACACTGAAGTCCAATTGGATTCACTTCAGTCCAATAGGACTGATACTGATCCAGTAGGACATCCCATTGCTTTAACATGACATTCTGAAATCCAATTGGATTTTTTTTACTAGGGAGGTCAGAGAGACAGACAGACAGACAGACGTGGCTGAGCTACATCCAGCCGTGGCGCTACACCGACTACACCAACAGAAACAGGTCAGAGAGACAGACAGACAGAGACAGACGTGGCTGAGCTACATCCAGCCGTGGCGCTACACCGACTACACCAACAGAAACAGGTCAGACAGACAGACAGAGACAGACGTGGCTGAGCTACATCCAGCCGTGGCGCTACACCGACTACACCAACAGAAACAGGTCAGAGAGACAGACAGACAGACAGAGAGACAGACAGACAGACAGACAGACAGACAGACAGAGACGGCTGAGCTACATCCAGCCGTGGCGCTACACCGACTACACCAACAGAAACAGGTCAGAGAGACAGACAGACAGACAGACAGACAGAGACAGACGTGGCTGAGCTACATCCAGCCGTGGCGCTACACCGACTACACCAACAGAATTTGCCGGTCCCGTAGCTCAGTTGGTAGAGCGTTGGACTCCGCGTGGTGAGAGCACGCGTTCCCGGTTACAACAGTCCGGGTTCGAAGCGCGACGGGCGCTTGACATTTATGGGCCTCCTGACAGGTATGGATGCGGTTGGTGGCAGGCCGTAGCCAGGCGAAGTCAGTGAGGGGACCGGCCGTGCGCGGCTATGTGCGCACGTTAAACTTTGGACTCTAAATTCTGCCATAGAACTGGAATTGCGCGATCGGAGGGTAGAGGGCAGGGTCACCGCAACAAGCTTCGCTTAGCGGTGGCTCTGTCCTTGTGAATCCTTCCCATCAAAAGGTTCGGACTAAATTTATAAAAAAAAAATAAAAAAAAAACAGAAACAGGTCAGAGACAGACAGACAGAGACAGACGTGGCTGAGCTACATCCAGCCGTGGCGCTACACCGACTACACCAACAGAAACAGGTCAGACAGACAGACAGAGACAGACGTGGCTGAGCTACATCCAGCCGTGGCGCTACACCGACTACACCAACAGAAACAGGTCAGACAGACAGACAGACAGAGACAGACGTGGCTGAGCTACATCCAGCCGTGGCGCTACACCGACTACACCAACAGAAACAGGTCAGAGAGACAGACAAACAGACAGAGAGACAGACAGACAGACAGACAGACAGACAGACAGAGACAGACGTGACTGAGCTACATCCAGCCGTGGCGCTACACCGACTACACCAACAGAAACAGGTCAGACAGACAGACAGAGACAGACAGACAGAGACAGACGTGGCTGAGCTACATCCAGCCGTGGCGCTACACCGACTACACCAACAGAAACAGGTCAGACAGACAGACAGACAGACAGACAGGCAGAGACAGACGTGGCTGAGCTACATCCAGCCGTGGCGCTACACCGACTACACCAACAGAAACAGGTCAGACAGACAGACAGACAGACAGAGACAGACGTGGCTGAGCTACATCCAGCCGTGGCGCTACACCGACTACACCAACAGAAACAGGTCAGAGAGACAGACAGAGACAGACGTGGCTGAGCTACATCCAGCCGTGGCGCTACACCGACTACACCAACAGAAACAGGTCAGAGAGACAGACAGAGACAGACGTGGCTGAGCTACATCCAGCCGTGGCGCTACACCGACTACACCAACAGAAACAGGTCAGACAGACAGACTGATACAGACTGAGAGATTGACTGACATACAGACCCACTGACTGACATATAGACGACGGACGCTCACTGACAAGTGTCAGATCGCATCCTTCTTGTTCATGTGGCGATAAGCTGCTCTCATTGCTCTTGGTTAGCGGTGATCTTCGCTGAATCTAGTGACCGGTGTTTTTTACGTCACACTCCCAGCGCCCTCCACCCGGCCGCCTCTGACTCCCCTCCCGGTCCGGCAGGTCCCCGAGCCAGTCGGGCCAGCCGCGTGAGTCGGATCGCGCCGTGGACGGCTCGTGGGCGCGCTTTGTGGCCGAGAACCTGCTGTTCTACGTAACGATATTCCGTCAGCTGCTGCCGCGCCTGCAGCGGATGGAGCTCACCGTGCCCAAGTACGCCTACATGGTGTTCCGGCTGGCCAAGGTGAGCCGCTGAGCGGCGGGGATTCTGAGTGTGGTGGGGGCGGTGTTTGTCGGTGTTTGTAACTACACACCCGCCACTGTTTGCTTTGTTTCTGTCGTTCCGGCAGATGTGCCAGCCGGGTCTTTGGTGGGTTTCTGCCGTACAGGTACCGTTAGTGTACCGTTTTTCTTGTTCAGGTGCTGTGCCAGGCGGGTCAGTTGTGCCGTATCTGACGTTCAGGTGAAGTGACAACTGCCAGCCGGATCTGTAACTGTTTCTGCCGTTCGGGTGGTGTGCCAGCAGTGTCACTGATGTGTTGTGTTCCCCATCAGGTGATGTGCCAGCCGGGTCTGTTGTGTTGTTTATGTCGTTCAGGTGCCGGTACTGTACTGTTTTTGTCGCTCAGGTGATGTGCCAGCCGGATATGTAACTGTGTTTCTGCCGTTCAGGTGGTGTGACTGATGTTCAGCAGTGTCACTGATGTGTTGTGTTCCCCATCAGGTGATGTGCCAGCCGGATCTGTAACTGTGTTTCTGCCGTTCAGGTGGTGTGACAGCAGTGTCACTGATGTGTTGTGTTCCCCATCAGGTGATGTGCCAGCCGGGTCTGTTGTGTTTTGTATGTCGTTCAGGTGCCGTTACTGTACCGTTTCTGCCGCTCAGGTGATGTGCCAGCCGGGTCTGTTGTGTTATTTATGTCGTTCAGGTGCCGTTACTGCACTGTTTCTGCCGCTCAGGTGATGTGCCAGCCGGGTCTGTCCGATCTGATCCACTCGGCCGAGGAGCTGCGGGTCGGCAGCCGGTGGCCGGGCGCCGGCCGCTCGGCCGCCGCGCCCGCCGGCGGACACTCGGCGCTACTGTACGCTGCCTCGGTCGGACAGCACATCATTGACCTGGAGGAGCCCGGCTTCACCTACCAGAGCCTCATGGACGCCTCGTGCACGCAGCAGGTACGGTTACCTGCGACAGCCGGACGGGGAGAGACGAACCGACTCCTAAAGGCGGACAGGGTGTGGACGTCGGACGAATAAAGTGGCCGTTTGGATAGTTGCTTGACGGTCATCGTTAATGCCTGATGGCTTGTAATGCGACCCGCTCTAACCCGTTCTGGCCCGTTGTCAGGTGCACGCGCTGGTGTACCCCGGTGACCCGTTCTGACCCGGCTGCCCTGTACCAGGTCCCGCCCGGGGTTGACCTGGTGACGCCGCTCTGACCCGGCTCTGACCCCGCGCCAGGTACACGCCCTGGTGCGCCGGCTGCTGGAGGCTCGTGCCGAGCTGCAGGCCCGGCTGGCGGCCGTGTCGCCGCCGCCGGCCGAGTCCGGCTCGCTGTGGGCCGGTCTGCTGTCGGCGCTGGGCGGCCGCACGCCTCACCTGACCGGCGCAGAGCTGTCTGGAGACGAGACGCGGCGCGCCGTGGTGCACCTTGAGAGCGCTGCCTCCCTGCTGGCCACAATGTACAACGTGAGTGGCGACCGTCTGCCGTCGCACCTTGTGTGTAGGCCAGAGGGATCTCTGCTCCAAGTGGATCTGACGTCAAAACTGCAGAGTAGGGTCCATTTATTACTTGTGGCGGACCCGTGATGTTCTCCGGCGCCTGTATCTTTGCAGCACCTTTTCGCTTACCAACCGTCTTGTGTCCGTATCTCCTCAGCTGGAGGTGCCCGAGCCGGGGTCCGTGGTGACCGACTGTTATCACAGTATGTCCGTGTCTCCTCAGCTGGAGGTGCCCGAGCCGGGGTCCGTGGTGACCGACTGTTATCACAGTATGTCCGTGTCTCCTCAGCTGGAGGTGCCCGAGCCGGGGTCCGTGGTGACCGACTGTTATCACAGTATGTCCGTGTCTCCTCAGCTGGAGGTGCCCGAGCCGGGGTCCGTGGTGACCGACTGTTATCACAGTATGTCCGTGTCTCCTCAGCTGGAGGTGCCCGAGCCGGGGTCCGTGGTGTCCGACTCCCCGGCCACGCCGGCCGGCCAGCGTCTGCCCGGCACGCCGCTGCCGGGCCGACCAGCGGCCACTCCGCTGATGGCCGGCCTGCTGACGCCGTCGGCGCTGCAGTCGCCGGCGGCGGCGCGCGCGGCCGGCCCCGAGACGGAGCTGACGCCCAACGGCCGGTGTCTGACGGCGCGCGGCCGCCGCCAGCTGCTGAGCGGCCTGTGGCGCGGCGACGTCACCTTCCAGGGCGACCCGGAGCGTCGGCCGGCGCAGAGCTGGGAGAGCGCCGGCCTGCTGCGCCTTCTGCAGACCGTCGCCGCGCACATCAACAAAACGGTCAGTGCAGCGGCGCCCGGGGAGGGGCGGGGCGCGCCAGAACCGCAGGAGGGGTGGGGTGGAGCGGGCAGTCGGTCAGAACCGGCGGCGTATGGACCACTGATGTAATCGAATACCAATGTCAGGTGCGCTTTATCACCAGTGTGGTCCATGTAATGCATGTTAAAAATGATTTTGAGCTCCAAACCAGGCGGGGTAACAAAGCGGACACCGCTTCATTTATCGATGGATTGAATGCATGTTCGTGTATTTGACCTTGCCGACCGCTGCCAACTTCAGTCGGTGTGTGCCACTCTGTCAGTGTCATCCGCTCGCTGTGCCCACCCCTGCGACGTCCTCCGCCTGTCGTTGATGTCTCTGTCGTCCGTCTCACCATCTGTCCTGTGCGTCCTGCAGTACGGCGCCGAGCTGGCGGCGCTCTACCAGCGGCCCGACCTGGCCGGCTACGCGGCGCGCTGTGTGCTGCTGCCGCCGGCCGTGTTCTACGAGCTGGAGCGGCGGCCGGGCGGGCGCAGCGAGCGGCTGGCCGTGCCGCGGCCGGCCGCGCTCACACTCCGGCCGCTGGCCGACCAACGCTGTCTGGCGGCGCTGGCCGGCGCCGTGCTGGTCGCCCTGGGCGCCGGACTGTCTCCCAGCACGGCGCTGGTGCTGGTGCTGCTCGTGCTGCCGGTGCTGCTGCTGCTGCTGGCGGCGGCGCTGCAGATGACCCGGGACTGGTGGCGGGGCTCGCCGCCGGCCGAGCTGGCCAGTCCCCAGCGCTGACTGGCCGGTGGACAGACGGTCCCCAGGGGTCAGCGATACCGCCTGTCAAGCTGGGCATTCACCTACGGACTGACTGAGAGCGAGTCACCGCCCCGGCGCCGACTGTGTGAGTACCAACCGGCTTTTTAATACCCAGTCAGAGGCGCCGGATGTTACTGCCTGCCTCACCCGTTAGTCAGCACTGCCCGGGAGCTGATTTGTTCTATAGGAACGGACCAGCTCCAACGCCGACTTTCCGCCCAAGTGATCTAACTTTACGCTGACTCGAGTGGTCCGCTCGTGGTCGCCTGTGATCGGTAGTGCCGCGTCTGTGCGCATGATATGCCCGTCTTCGTTTATCCATGTCTCTTCGCTTCTCTGTCTATGTCTGTTTGTGAAGGTGGGCAGTGGCCGGGTGGGCTGAGGACAGCTGTCCACCAGTCGCTGGCCGCTTAGTACGAACGGCGGAGATCGGGGTGGCGAATCGCGCGACCTCCTGCGGTGTTTTAACTGTGCCAGGGGAGACGGGTGAACCCGAGCCGATGTGATGCCTAACCCCAGTCGCATTGTCGATGATGCATTATTCTGAAAAGTGATAGCTTTGTACTGAGGCGTGAAGGAATGATGAATACAACAGTTTATGTATCATTGGTTCTATTCTATTTGTTCCGGACGTTCAATCAAAAAGTCTTGCAGACGATTTGTAGCGTATTTATTAAAAATACATTGGCTGCACAGTGACGGTAATGGGCGGCAGCTCAACCCCACCCGTACCCTCTCTGGTTCTGCGTGCTTGAGCTTCCGTGAAACTTCCGTGATCGGTCGCCGGGCGTCAGCTGCGGCAGTGGGACGGTAAACGAACAAACGCCTGCCAGATTTGTGCCGCACGAATAAAAATTTTGTGTAGGTGGAGTAAGAAATATGCTTTGTGCCCATAGCATATGTTCGAAGATAGCTGGAAAGTAGCTGTGTTGTCCATTATGGCAGGTGTTTCCCCAGTGGTTCCAACTTCCAATGGTGGTAATTGACTCTGTAAAGGTACAATCGGCTTCATCCAGTGATCCGGATGGGGTACCAGTAAGCGTTAAGGTACTGAAGCAATGGAGACCCGATCTGGCCTGGTTCACATTTCTAGTTCGGTGGGATATGCGAGGCTGCAAGCCATTAATGCTGTGTGTTGTGGATTGACTGCGGCTTATTCTGCAGGAAAGTCTACGTGACGAATTGATTTGAAACATCGCAGAAGCAAACTGCCTTTCGCCAAAACGCTTGATCTAGCGTATGAAGTATTTGAACATGAAGTGATACTTGCATTGCTGCATGGGGAACGTATCGCTAGCCCGCGTCAGACATCGCCAGAACAGTCGCACAATTGACCCGTGTCCTCCGGAATCTAGTGGGCGCTGCCCTCCGAACACCCCCGCCTCCCCTCCTAAAATGGGCAGTAGTAGCAAGAATAAAACGAGCTGCCGACTCGGCGAGCTGGCAGTGGAGCCCGACCGGGTCCGGCTGGCCGATAACACCGGCCCTCCCGACTCACACCCGTTCCCCCGCGCCGGCGGGGGTGATCACATTCGGTTGGCGGCCGGCGGGCGCCCCCTCGCGCCCCCACCTGGCGGCCGGCAGGGTACACCAAAAGAGCGCGCGTGCGGGCCGGCGGCGCGTAGACGTCTGAAGAGAGCGAGCGGCGACGGCCAGCCGGCTTGAGCGGGAATGGGAGTGAACACAGGGCCGATGACACAACACTGGACGGCGGGGCGCCCGGCGGCCAGCGCCGGCCGCCGCCAGCCCGCACAGGCAGCCGGCACATGACGCCGTGTCGAATTGAACAACGCTGAGCTGACGTAGCTAACACATGCCGACTTCACAAGGAGCTCAGATGAGGTCGAACGCACGGCCCGAGGGGCGCCATTCAAACGGGGCGGGTCGTCACGAGCGGCAGTACAAACATTGACGAGCACTGAACCATCGGCCGGCCGATCGAACACCACATGCCTGACGTAAAACCAGCAAAGGCGGCTCAGATCGACAGCGGGGAAAGCGAACAACAGCGTAACACCCAGAACATCGTATTGGAAAGCTCGACGCGTAGGTATACCGCACATCAACGCCGAAACAAGCATGAGATCTGTGACGGAGGGACCATCGACTCTCGCTCGCTCACTCACTCACTCACTCACTCACTCACTCTCACTCACTCACTATATCGGCCCCCTCTCGCTTTCCCTCTATGACCTCTGCGGTCGCCATTTGTACCGAAAGCCGCCTGCCTCATAGCTGCGGCCGCGCGACGAGCCTGCGCCGTCCAGCTGCTTTGAGCAAACTTGATAAATATATTTGGGATACATATCACTGAGAGCGGTACGCGGCGGTTCGCTCAGTCATCGGGCGGCTCGCCGGTCTCCATGGGCGCCGGGCTCTGGACCGAGAGCGACTGCAGCGCCGCGCAGGGCGAGGGCGGCGCCGGCAGACCGCCCAGCCCCGCCGAGGGCGAGGGCGGCGCCGGCAGGCCGCCCAGACCCGCCGACAGGTGACGCAGGTACGTGGGCGGCTGCTCCTCCGAGTTGGCACGCCGCGGCGGGGCGCGCGGCGAGCGCGGCGGCCCGGCCTCGTCCACGCTGCCGCCGCCCTCGGCCAGCTCGTAGCGCGAGTGGGTGCGCATGTGGCGGGTGATCATGTCGCGGCGGCAGGCGGCGTACGGACACTGCGGGCACTTGTACGGCTTCTCGCCGGTGTGAGTCCGCTGGTGTGTGGAGAGATGGTCGGAGCGGGAGAACACCTGACCACACACCCGACACGTGTACGGCTTGAGGCCCGTGTGCAGCCGCATGTGCCTGGTCAGCATGTCGCTGCGCGCGAACGACCGCTTACACGTCTCACACATGTACGCCTTGGAGGAGGCGTCGGCCGGCTTGGTTTTGTGCCTGGAGGCCATGTGTTTGGCGAGCCGGTCGTGCAGAGAGAACATCTGGCCGCAGACGGGACACACGTAGGCCACGTCGGCGCCGGGCGGCATCTGCTCGACCACCGGGCACACCTCGAGGTTGTACCGGAGTGCCACAGAGTCGCGCGTGGTCGGCGACGCCACGTTACCGTGCACGATGGGGATGGGCGGGTGCAGGCCGGGCGAGCGCATCCGGAGCAGCGGGTGGTGCGCGCCGAACCGCGGCGGCGCGCTCGTCTCGGAGCCGGCGCTGCTGGCAGTCGAGCCGAGCCGTGCCGAGCGCACCGACAGATCCAGCGGCGAGTCCTGCGGCGACGACTGGTCCGACTCCAGCGAGCCCGACTTGCCCGGGATGAAGAGCGGCTGGGGCGCGGCGGCGCGGCCCGGCCGCAGCACGGAGCCGCGCGCCGGCGCCGGCGCCGGCGGCTCCATCCAGGCGCTGAGGTCGGACTCGGAGCGACTGCGGCGCCGATACAGCTCCGACAGCTGCGACAGGTACTCGAGCGGCAGCGGCGACTGCGAGAGCGACGCCGGGCTGGCCGGGGTGAGCGGCGTCAGCGGCGAGATGGGCGAGCTGGACAGGCCGGCGCCCAGCAGCCGGCTGTGCACCTCCAGACGGTGCTCGCTCTCCATGCCGGCCGTGCAGTGGGCGCACGCGCAGAAGGTGAACTTGTGCGCGCCGCCGGCGGTGCTGGCGGCGCACACGGTGGGCCGCTCACAGGTGAGCACGTGCAGCCGCGGCGGCGAGCAGACCGCCGGCGCGCCCTCCAGCCGGCTCTCCGGGTCCACGTCCGGCTCTTCTTTGATACGGAACGTGCCGAACCCGCTCACCCGCGGCGAGTCCTGGCTCACCAGCGGACTGTCCAGCGACGAGTGCGGCGACTTGGACGACACCGGAGAGAACACGTCCTCGTCCTCCTCGGAGATCGCGCGGCACGCGAACCGTTCACTGTCACCCGAGTCGAAACGGAACACATCGGCACCGAGCGCGCGCGGACTCCGCATCAGCGGATCCCGAGCCACGGCGCCGAGTCCACCCGCCGCTGGCGCCATCCCGGCGGCGGCGGCGGCCGCAGCAGCAGCAGCCTCACCCTCCTCAGGGAGACGCTCCTGCTCCGAGTCGCCCCGAGAGAACATGGCTGCAGGTGGCGCTGGCGATAGCTGGCCGGCAGTTATAGGTGTCGCCCCGGTCGCCGGGTCATGGGGCGGTCCGAGCGTCAGCTGCCGGAGCACGGTGTCGATGCGGCGCCGCTCGCTGAGGCTGCCCGACGGAGGCGGCGGGCTGCTGCCGGCGCTGCCGCTCAGCTGGGCCATGGTCACGTGACCAGGGCAGGCGGCGCGGCGCCGGGCCGCCCCGCCCGCATGCCGCTGTTCTCAGCGGAGGAGCCGCCGCCGCCGGTCCCCGCTCGGTTGGTGGTGTCGGCAGATCGCCCCTGCCAACAGAGAACAACAGGCAGCTGCAGTCACTGTACAGCGATACACCAGAGGTGGGGATGGCCATACCACAACAGGCAGCTGCAGTCACTGTACAGCGACACACCAGGCATGGGGATGGACATAACTACCAGTTACCACAACAGGCAGCTGCAGTCACTGTACAGCGATACACCAGACGTGGGATGGACATACCACACATTTTACGATTTTCTAACAGGTCCCGATTTTCCCGACTTTGGGTCATTGACCTGACCTGGAAGGTCATCCAATGACCTAGGACCTTAACCCTCGCCGGCACAGGCCATTTTGCGTCCTTCGACGGCACAAGGGGGGGGGGGGTACGACCCCCCCTCGCGTTTGGCCCCTGATCGAGCTAGAGCTTCGCGGAAAAAACGAGCGTGTTGCCCGTCACGAGAGGAAGCCGATGATACCCAAATTTAAGGTCCTAGGTCATCGGGTGACCTTCCAGGTCAGGTCAATGACCCGAAAACCGGGAAAATCGGGACCTGTTAGAAAGTCGTAAAGTGTGGCTGCTACATGGTTTTCCGGGGTGCTGATCACGAATATCGTGTTAGTTTCGATCAGAGATGATGTTTTTAAGCATTTAGACCAGGTCGGGTCAGGTCAGGTCAGGTCAACCGGTAGGAGTTGTGACGGCCGACGGGTATTCGTAATACGTGTCAACCGCCTCTGACAGCATCGTAACATGTTACGAAGGCACCAAAACTACTTCGTAAATGTTGAAATGGTTGCTAAATTCGAAATCAGCTCCAAAAACTAGCCTAGAAACATGTAAAACTCGAAAAAGTGAACCGAGGTCACCCGAGGTCACCAAAGGTCAGTGACCTGACCTGACCTTCAGGTGACCTTGACACCCACCCTTATGTATGGGAGCAACATCAAATCACATGTTTGAACGTTTGAAACCACGAAAAGCTTGCAAACGCGCGGCTAATACGAGCCGACATACGCCGAATCGCGATTTCGGCCAAACATGGTCACGGAAAAGAGGTCACAGGTCAAAGGTCATTGGGGTCAGGGTCATGAAATTTTCAGGGAACGTGTAAAATTGATCAATGCGAGGGTACTGAAAGTTTCGTCGCGATCGGCCGCTTTTTACGCGAGTTATTTGCGAAAAACCTTAGGGGGGGTTGCATCAACCCCCCCCCCCCCTGTGCCGGCGAGGGAATTGGGTATCATCGGCTTTCTCTCGTCACGGGCAACACGCTCGTTTTTTTCCGCGAAGCTCTAGCTTGATCAGGGGCCAAACGGCAAGGGGGGGGGTCCAACCGACCCCTCCCCCTACACATTAGAAGCTGGCAAACGCCGCACACATGCGAGGGTTAAGCTATCTATCAAGCTATCCTTACGTAGGGCGTGTAATTAACCCTCGCACGACCAGGCCATTTCTCATAACACGAACGACCAGGGGGGGGGGTTGTTACGACCCCCCCCTGGCGTTTCGAAACGGAAGGTCGTAGAGCTTAGCGGTAAAAACCAACGGATTGCTCTCAACGAGATCTCGCGATTGGTGGTATATTTTTTGGTCCTAGGTCAACATTTGACCTACTTTTGACCGGTCAAAGGTCAAATTTTCGGAAAATAGACTTTTTTCAACTTTCGGCGGCGATTGCGGCAAAACGGTGGGAGATATCGACTTGAAACCTTCACTATCGTGTTCCTTGATCAATTCTCTATCGTTTGGTATGTATTTCGTTTCCCTAGCTCTAAAAATGGCGCGTTGGGAGCGCCGGAAGTCGGCAAGGTCACAGTCGGCGGCAGAAATTCGAAAAATCAAAATTTAAATTTTTGAAATCTGATTGTATTTTTGGATTTGGGAGGTCCATTTGCTCCCTATAGAAGCTAATATTGCTGCATATTCCCATTGAGGTGACAAGAATTAGCAAAATAGTGGTTCGGGCGCTTTTCAAAAATAGTACCGGACGCTGTTCCTCTTGTGACGTCATAGCTCCGTGACCTGACCTGACCCGGTCAAATTTCTTATACCATATGATAGCCAATACTTGCCCCAACATGCATGGGAAGTTTCATTACGATCCATCAACCGATGTCCGTACCACCGGCAGGAAACCTCGGGCGTTGGCACTCAGTTTGTGAAAATCCGGCCGGAGGCTGTACCTCTTATGACGTCATAACTCCGTGACCTGACATGACCCGATCAATTTTTTTTCGGCAAAAGATGCGCAAAGGTTGCCCCAGAGGCTATTGAAAATCTCAGCCCGCTACGACAAGCCGTTTAGCGTGCACTTCGAAAAAACCTCAGGGGGGGGGTTGATACACCCCCCCCCCTAGGCGTTCTAGGGTTAACTCTCACCCATCGATGACAATTTACTGCGACGGCACCTTGTCAGCTTAAGCAGACAAGTGCGCTTATGTGGGATATTCACCATCAGCTGAAGTCTTTTTTGCCCTCTCCGCTGACTCTAACAAGCCCACACAACACAAAGGACAGGTCGCCATCTCCGCGGCATCCACTTGCATATATAGTTGATGAAATGCATTCGCATTTCGAACGCTACACACGACTTCCTTGTTTTACTACGCCTCTGGTTCCTTCCTCATACGCTGCAGCAGTTCAGGGGGCGGTGTGAGCCGGTAGCCGGCACACCAGTCCGGAGCGGACGACCAGAATTCACCGGTGCGGGTCGGCGCGGCCCGGTGTCACCAGCGCAGGTCAGTCAGCAGTGACCCGTTCAGCACGCCGCGGCTGACAGGCGGACAGACACACGGCCCCCGGAAACCGCCCCGACCCCGCGGCACACGTGAAGTACGCACCGCCGCGGTCTGACACGCCCTGTACCGGGCTGAGAGGCAATCTCGGTCATAGAGCCGCTGCCTTCCTGGTGGCCTTTCATTTTCGGACGTGCGCCGGAAATGTGGCCGGCAGCTGGGGGGGGGGGGGGGGGGCGGAGCTGCAGGTATTCCGCATTACAGTTCTTGGCCGGGTGTCAGGAAGTGATGCAACCAACAGCATCCGCTGCATAACCGCGCGGCATTTGGCACTACCGCGTGGCACCCTCTGCGTCGCCACGTCACTCTGCCGCTGGATAATGCACGCTCACATTTCCGACCGTGCTGCAATCTTATCACCGTTCAGCGCGAATATTTGCAATTTAATGCTCCACATGCGGGAAATATTAGAATGAATGAACATTGGTGCCCTTTGCGGTAACCAAGTCAGACCGCAAACGTGCTGTGACATAAGAGCCACTTAAATTACTGTAACGTTGCGTAGTTTCATCTTCTACACAAATTACCCACTAAAAATGGTAGGCACACAAACGGTTGCGCATATTTCACGGGACAGGGCAAAACAAATTGAATTAGGAATTAGTGCCAGCTCCAAAACTACCACAGGCGACCAGCCACATGGTCAGGGTGTCATTTTCAATCGGCTAGCAATGAGTGGAAGGCATCGTTTCAGTGCTGCAGCACTTCCGTCTTTGGCCCCGGACGGTGTGCCGGAGGGCGGAACAGTCGGGTCGCCGGGACGGGGCGGGCGGCGGGGGCCGGGGCCGGTGTCACCGGGAGCGCGCTGTGGCGGCGGCGGCCGGCCGGCCCGCTATCGGCTCCGCGGGGCGGTCGGCCGCGCCCGGTCCCCCAGAGGTCCCCGGGAGCGGGCCGGCCTACCTCTCTACAGCAGTTGTTGGCCGCCGCGTCCTGTGATGGCCCTGTGCCCCGTGCACCGGCGGGCCCCCGGGCGCGGCCGCCGCCCGTGTCCGGGCTCAAACGGCGGTCAGAGGGCGCGCCAGCCGAGTGGGAGGGTCCGCCGCACCGCGCCGCCCGGCCGGCGGACCCTGCCGCCCCGCCCTCTGGCAGCAGAGACCCGTGTCGGGCGCACGGACCGGGCCCAGGGTCAGCGTGGCGTCCCGACGCTGCCTGCATTTACCCTACACACTGCGAACTAGCGGACATCGAAAATATCCGCGGCATTATATTTCCAATGCCGATCAGGTTTCTAATAGTGCATTTGTTAGGTGTGACAACGACCGGCAGCCTTTGATGCAGGACACAAATTATTGCACCTGAAAATTGTGCTACCTTTATATAAACACTCAGGAAAAGAAACCGCAGAATAACAATGCTGGGGATGTCTATTTACACCAAAACCGTCAAAGCAAGGCCTTCGTTTCAACTTTTAAAGTCCCGGAAAGTGAGTGTTGATGGGTGAGTGTTATATAAATGAGCTCCAAGGTTGCAAACTGACAAATTAAAACACCAAAGACAATGCTTCACCGCATTTGCAACTGAGATATAGCGGTCACAAGGTCAAAGTGCCCGTGGACGTAAACTTGATTAAGCCGCTATATTCGCCAGTCCAGTCACGCTGAGGCGCTTCTATGTATAGGATGAAAGCGCTGAGAAGGATAGGCGGCGGATGCACGTTTCGCCATTGCCATAGGTGTGGGCTGCGGATCCCTGTTTTCAGCTGCTCTGGAGGAGGACGAATCTGAGCAGGGCGGCGGAACGGGGGCGTATTGGAGGCGGGCGAGGAGGCGGGCGGGCAGAGGCAGCCGCCGTGGCTGAGTCAACTGCACTCACCAGGGAGGGCCGGATACCTATAAGCGAGGTGGAGGTTTCTCAACGGTACTTAGCATATGCCTATCCGGAGCATCTTGGCTTACTTGGGCATCGCTCCTTTCCTAACCGTTTACCTTGTACCGAAAGGGTGGGGCCAACGCACAAGTTTTTTTTCTCGCGTGATTACGTGGAACGCATTAGAAATATCGGTAGAATCTGAAAATGGATCCTACCTTTGATAAAAACCATATCTTTTTACGTCAACCACGTTTTCCGGTTAGGTCACTGACCTATGACGTCATCATGAGTGAACTCCTGCATGAACCACAAATGTTGCGAATTCTCAGCTCTCTTGATCTCTATGAATCTTACGCAGGAATGAGTATACCTTCCTTCGCATCTGTTATATCTCCAAACTCTCAAAATCGGTTGTCTTACCCCGCGCCCTGATGGG